GCGGGAGCCGGGTAGCAGCGTCGGGGGGGAGTGGGGGGGGGTTGGAGCGGCCTGGGGGCGTGGGGGGAGCCGGGGGACCCTGCAGGAACTGCGGTGAAGCTCCCTCTAGTGCCAGCATGCGACCAGGAGGAAGCAGAGACACCGAAGGTGTTACGCAAATGGCTTATTTGCTCATGTGTGATGGGAATGATGCAATGATGAGGTTACACATTAGCTGGGTGTCAGTGCGACACTTTAAGGCCATTCTTTGCCCCCCCCCCCACCTGCCTGGCTATCAGCCGCAGGACGTTTTGTTGGCGCAGCTTTTCGAGCCGGATCTAACCTTCAAAGTGGCTGCTTCCCACCCCCACTCCACCCCCAGTCCCCTTTCTTATTTTTTCACCCTGGGGGGAGCAGGGGCACATCCCAAAACCTTCAGAGTGGAAACCAGAGTGCCGGTTTTCTGCAGTGGGGAGGGGGTGTTTTATGTGGTTGGTCCATTCCTGTGACAGCAGCCAGACCAGGCTCAGGCCACAAGGAGCGATCCATCAGAACCAACTCCACCAGTGCTCCCAGTATGAGCCCAAGAGCCAGAGCTATGGTTTGAGGGCTCCCCGTCGGTCCAGACAACCACTGCTGACTCTCTCACCATTATGCAGAAAAAGCAGGAACAGAATTCATTAGGCATTAGGCATGCAAAGATACTGTCCTTTTGTCAGAAGAGCTGGGACGGTGAGGCTGGCCCCCGCTGGACCTGTCCCCCTCACAGCCTGCTCACGTCTCTCCCTGGCACCTCCTTGGCCCCCACGCGCCCCCCAGAGCATGGGGCTGACAGGCATGGCCCTGTTTGCAATTCCGACGCATTGCAGTGTTCTGGGGGTGTCTTTGATTAGCCGAGAAGCTCTTCAAACAGAAGTGTGGTGTGTGGAGGTGGATGCGTGTGTGTGTGTGTGGGGGGGGGCAGTCCTCCCTGGGGCCACAAACAGCAGCTGCAGAACAGCTGCCGGATTCCCGACAGGGGCAAGAGAGGGGCGGGGGTAAAACACCTTCATCCTGCTCTGAGCCACGACAACGTGCAGCTGGCAGCCCCCTAACCCCCTAAGCCCCACCCCTGACAAATGCAGCCCAGCGCATGCGGGCACACGAAACAGGAAGCGGTACTTCAGCACACCCCTCCCCCCCACACGCGGCCGCACAGAACAGGAAGCGGTACACAGTGAGCAGCGTCACGGTGCAGGCGTGGTCATGGGGGTGGTAAACTATGCTCTGAAAATTCCCAGATAGTTACTGGTTTGCATCCCAGCAGGAGGAACCAGCAGTACCACATGTAACTGGGATCCTGGAGTGCGAGGTGGGGAGAGGAGTGGAAAGGAGAGGAGAGCAGGGAGAAGAGGAGAGCAGGGAGAAGAGGAGAGCAGGGAGAAGAGGAGAGCAGGGAGAAGAGGAGAGCAGGGAGAAGAGGAGAGCATGTCAGGACATTGGGTATTGGGATCAAAGCACTTCACTCCCCTAAGGCCTTTGTCTGAGTTCCAGGGGCGTGTTCATCACCAGTGCACGCTGGGACCGGTGGGGGGGGGGCGCATTGAGGAGGGGCCCTCACACCTCCTGCCCTTGGGCTAGTAGGACTGGGTGTGTGCTGGGGGGCTTTGTGTCTGGCCGGGTGAATAACCGCACCCCCCCCCGCACTGCCGTGTGTTTTTATCAGCAATGACTAACATGGTGGGGTGGGGGTGTGCCAGTATGACTAGTAGGCATGGTAGCCGGTGAGAGAAGCTGACACTGAGGCCCCTCCCAGAAAAGTCGAGCAGGGCCTGTGGTGTCAGATCCTTCTAGAACCTTTTTAACTGCATTAATATCCTGCTGCCATTGTACTGTATTGACGTGCTCCCCGGTGCCAGCAGCGTCCAGTGACCCCCCCCCCCCCCCCCTGGGATGCTGGCTGCAAACCGTCGATAGTGAAAGTGCTCCGGCATTTTTAATGGCTGTCTCAAACATCCAGGGCTACATGTGTAATGTAACGTATTTTACTCAGTCTCTCTGATGGATTAAAGGAACACAGCAATGTTAGAGATATTGAATATCTAAGTGATGGTAACATTTTACATAGAGCTGACTGGAATGTGAAGTGTGAATCTCCACTGTGCTACCAAGAGGGCCAAAGCAGGGCCCTCTGCCTCCTCTGAAGGATTGTTTCTGTATTCTGCTCCAAACTGGTCTCCAGCACTGAAGTATTGATTAGACTTGACCTTGTCTTTTCCCTTCAAGATTCTCTCTCCTTAAATCATGCCTTTGATTGAGACGTTGTGCTTCTTTTCCGTCCATGAATAATAGCTCTTCGAGCCTGAATGTCACCCTTGTCACTGCCCGCCAAATGCTCTCCGTCGCAGGAATGTCCTTCGTTGATTAAGGTGACCGGAGTTTCGTACATCCTGCTTGCTAAGCGAGCAGTCAGAGCAGCTTTACAGAGTAATGAGGGCCAGCTTGGTCCTCTAACCCTAACCTAACCCTAACCCTAAACCTAATCCTGAGCGGCATGTCTCCAAGCAGCCGTATCGGTGCTGCACAGTTGCGCTGACTTCCTAAGGGATCCTGCCTGTGAAAATCTGCTCTCCGCGCAGACAGTGATGGACAGGGAGCAAGACCACGCCTCGGCCAGCTTCCACCCCTCTTCCCATTTACCGGCGGGTCACAATAGCCCCCCCCCCCCCGCGCTGAAATCCGGGGCAGTGTTAGGTGTCGCTGTGCTGAAAGGCGTTCAGATGCAGAGCTGGAGGCCCAGGAACCCCTCAAAGCACAGGAAATGACATCAGAGTCTTTCAGGCCAGGCAGATGGGCCTTCACTCCGGCACGATGGGCAGCTGGGCAGGTGTGACACGCCGTGGAGCCTGAGCACAGCACACAGGTCCGTGGCCTCTGCTCCACGCGCTGATCCGGGGGATCGGTGAGGGACTTCACAGGTCACAGCTCAAACAGGCCGCCAGCTGGGAATTTGTTTAAAGAACCGGACCCTAAAGCAAACTTGCACAAAAAAAAACATACTCTGAGTTATTAGGGAATTGGTATCTACTGGGCAAATCAGTGACGTAAAATGGAAAAATACTATTATACTTGCAGGAACTTGACTATAGATAATCTGCTTTGAGATGGAAAGCAACCATTAATACAGCGGGCAAAAAATATAATTTATTGTAAATTGAGAAGTTTTAATTAATGGGTACAATCTCCATGGTATTGGAAAGCACTGTTTTAGGTATTTGGCCTTACATCTGTCTAATGACTAAGCATGCGATTTGGACAGCATCTCCTTCACACTGTCACGCAAGCAGCAGCCTGGCATTCACCTCCTCTGTCTCAGAGACACTTCAGACTGCAACATACCCCGGTTCTCTGCTGAAACGGAGCCCAAGGGCTTAACGGACCAGTCTGATTACATATTTTTATACGTCCATACTTTGCACGCGAGGGTGAGTCTTCGTTTATTTCCACATCTGGAAGTTAAGGTGTAACTATGGGAACGTGTTGGTGCAACAGAGACATGCCTGGATCTGGAAGGGGCAGGAGAAATGGCTGCTCCAGGACTCCTGGTCCTGTCTGGGAAAACGGGAGTCATCTGAGCCAGAAGGGGAAACTAACCAGACTCAGATTCTCAAAGTCTTCAGGTAAGGCGCTCTTCCTCAGCAAGGCCTTCTTGTGGTGAGAGGCGGGGCTTGCTGTCCCTCACGGTCCCTGACCTTGTCATTGGCTGCATTAGGAACTAGTTGCCCATCCCAGGTGAAATCCTTTGTCTCCGCAAGCAGACATAGGCTGCCATCACAGCGAGGGCATCTCAGCGGACATGGCGACGCTCCCGAAATGCCAGGCAGACAGATGGACGGACGGCCAGCTGCAGGGAGGCTGGACAGGCCGGCGTGACTTCTCCTTCATCCTCATTCGCGGGGGGGGGGGGGGGGACCTTCTGAACTGGCTGCATAAGCTGGCTGGCTGTCGGGTTAGCGGGTTAGCGGGCTGTGTTAGCATTGTCCACAGACACCCTTGGTCCCCTCGCCCCTTTCACTGTAGTACCATATGAAATGGGCAACGCTGGGAAATCACGTTCTTCTCACAAGCGGCCCGGCCCCCTGTCGGCCACCCAAATCCCCTCCGGGTCGGCTAGATAAGAGCATGGAGGCGCATTAACATTCACAAACAAACATGCTGACATCAAAGTGGTGCCCGGTGCGTGTGTATGCGTGCCGTAAGGCCCCCGCCGCTAATTACACCTGATGGAGGGGGGGGGAGGGGGTTGCTTTACAGGCATCGGATGAAAGGGGAGCAATGAGGAAAGACGAGACGGATCAAAGTTCTCCTGCTGCGAGGCGCCACCGTAGAACAGGGCGTACCGTGCAGGTTGCCATGACTACAGTGGGCTCGATGGTGTCACAAAAGCAGCATGGCCCCGTTTAAGACTGGAATGCGGGGCCACTTCAACAACACGCCCCCCCAGGCCCACCGCTCACGCTGGGTAGTGAAGGCTCCGCCCCCCAGTGTGGCATGTAGCTGTCGCCTCTGGTTTCCTGGCTCCTAATTACAGACCCATTAATCCACATCACATTTCCCAATAAACTAAACATTTACGGAGATTTGGACCAAATATCTCCTAAGGGACGAATGACATGCAAACCTGATGCACTGTGGGGGTGTGAAATATGAGCAGGGCAGTAAACAGATGGACAGGTAGCAAACACGCCACCGCTGCTTCTTTCTCCTTCAGACAGATTCCTGTGTTGTCCTGACCCATTATAGGCCGACTAAGAAACATCCAATTACACCTACAGTCCTAGATGTTTGGAGCAGAGATTGACAACAACCAAGTGTTTTCACTGTGGATGGTCTGCGGCGGCCCGATCGGATCAGTCCCTGGGATGGCGGCAGCACAGAAATCAGCCGAGATCTGCGACATTGAGAGCACTGCACAGGGGCAGCCCGAGGAGAGGGGTGCGGAGGAGAACGAGAAAGTGGGCTGCCGTAATTATGCACAAGAAATTCACACGAGAAAGGTTCTACAAAAAAAAAACAAAGCAAGCCAGCCATTAGGGGCTTTGTATCTGAGCACACAGAACGGCAAGGCTGTTAGAGGGAGTCACTGGTCTGTAAAGCCAACGCGAGGTCAGTGATGCACACTGCACACATAGATATACACACATACACATAGATACATACATAGCTATACACACATAGATATACATACATAGACATACACGCATAGATAAACACACTAAGACATAGCTACATAGATGGATATACACACAGACATAGATATACATACATAGACATACACACTAATATACATTTAGATATACGCACATAGACATACATACATACATAGACATCCACACAGTCACAGCTGCAAAACACCCTTCCAGCTGCTGACCCCTCAACTGACCCTCAGTCAGCCTGGTATAGCCCAGTGAGGAGGACCCCCACCCCCCCAGTGCCCCCACCCTGGTCTCCAGCCGAGTAAACAGCTGGTTAAGCTGTCTAAACCTGCTACTACGGCAGCTGCTTGTGCCACAGTGATCGGCTTCAGCGAGCCTGAGAAAATAGGTGCCTCTTTTAGAGAGCAAAGCGCGAGCGCAAAATGGCCACCTGACTTCTTTCCGCCTTCATCTGTGGTTAAATAGCCTTACAAGGAATTGAAACCCACCATAGGTCGGCAGGCCTGTATGAAAAAGCCTTTTGGGCCCACTGATCCCAGAATTCTATCCCAGAATGCACCACGACAGGGCCTTTCTCAGCAGAAGAAATATACTGTAAAGAATTCAAAATCTAATTTTGATTAAGAAACGTTTTGCGCCAATGGCAACCAACTGACTGCTCAGTTATTTCATATCTCAATCACAGTGAGGAAGGTAGTTCATAGTGAGGTAAAGATTCTATTCGATGGGTCTCAAACCGGCGAATGAGGAGCAGTGATGACATCAAGCAGATGAAGTTTGTTGTTGTTATATTTACCAAAGTCTGTAATCATTTCCAACAATCACAGGCTGGCCAGATACCGCAGTAGTCACAGAAATACCTCTGTAGTCACATTTAGTGGGCGTCTCAATCAAGATTTCACAGAATAATGTCACTGATGGCATACAGTGCAAATGTGTTTGGAACAAGAAAACTTACAAATGTCTGTATGATGAAGGAACTCCAGGAACGTACTGCTCACACACGTCAGGCGTGTGAAAGCCATGACGACTGGCACGTCTATGATGCGTGGAGAGATATGTCTGGTGTCCTCAGCTGGGCGTGGCCTCTGCTCAGGTATGAGATCAGTGACAGATTTCCCAAAAGAAGATGAGAATACAGCAGCTTCAGGCGACGTGACGCCTCTTTGATCTTAATAAACCGGGAGAATTAACAAAATATTAATCACTTCCAGAGGACAGATGACACGCGCCACAGGGTGGGATTGGTCTTTACAGAGCTGGTAGGAAGGAGACCTTTCCGGGGGCTCAGTGAAGGAATATGACGACGGTAATTATTCTCTCGCTTGGTCAGCGTGTGGGTGGATTTCCAGTTCAATCTGGGCAGGAGATGAGGACCAGAAAACCCTTAAGATTGGAACCTCTCAGCCCCCTCCCAAGTGTGTCTCATCAGCTCACAGTAGTGGGCAGGATGGTCAACTCCATCGGTGATCCCTCCGGACCCTTTGATCTCGGAGGGACTCCCTTGTGTTTCCCTCCTCGGGCCCACTGACCTGGCACGGGGACGAGACACTCTACTTCCTTTTTGCGTTGATGCTTTTACAGACCCAGGTCATGCCGTCCTGAAACACCATGCAACAAACAAGCCACATCACAGAGCCTTCTAGGACGATGTCTTCTGTGTGAAATTTAGCAGCTGGTGTTCAGTGGAGATTCATCTTATGGGACTTGATCTAACAACATTCTGGTAACAAGCCTGGCCCTTTAAGGAGGTGAGGTAATCTGCAATCATGTCATCAAGGATTGCCTATAGCAAGGTTTCTCAACCCAGTCCTCGGGGACCACCAGACGGTTCACGTTTTTGCTCTCTCCCAATTGGCAGGGAATTGGGAGAGAGCAAAAACATGGACCGTCTGGTGGTAGCCGAGGACCGGGTTGAGAAACCCTGGCCTATAGGGATCTGAACAAAGGTCCAACTGGTTCCCAGGGAGGCAGAACTGGGCCCAGCATGTTACCTGAATGCAGCAGCTCACCTGGACGCCCTCGCCAGTCAGCGCCGAGCAGGACTGGATCTGCCAGATACGGTCCCGGATGGTGTGCAGGTTAAGGCCCTCGGCGATTTCAGAGGCAGGTGCGGCCGTCAGCAGGTCCTGCTTGTTAGCGAAGACGAGCACGGGGACGCCGCTTAGCTTCTCCTCATCCAGCAGCTCAGCCAGCTCCTGTCCAGATACATGTGCACATGCAAACAAATAAACAGGTGGTTCACTACTACAAATCAGCAATACACCGGGCAAACCCAGGCACAGACATACAGACGCTACCTGGCCCGTCTCCTCAAACCTTTTACGATCTGCGCTGTCGATGACGTAGATCTGAAAAACAGGACAGGATTGGCCTAGGAGATCTGAGTAAGGATGCCAGTATGGGGCAGAGTAGTTAAGGAACTCAGCAGACATTATGTAGATGGCCTTAACATCCGGAAGCTGCTGCACGCTGAAGTGGTTTGTGATTAGGGCGGATCCAGTCAGTACTTCGCTGGTCAAGCTAGAGGCAGAATCCCGACCCGCGACTCACAAGCACGTCTGTGTTCTCGAAGTAGTTCCTCCAGTAGGGTCTGATCTTCCGCTGGCCACCGATGTCCCACACGTTGAGCCGGAACCCCTGAGACTGCACGCTCTTGACATTGAAGCCCTGGAAAAGTCCAAGACAGGAAGTCAGGCCCCCCCAGTCGGGCCATCACAGGGGGTGGGGTCTATTCCCAAACACTGGCACAGCCTTTGCCACATGTTACCCAACAGCATTAGCTAACGGTGGATGGGGGGGGGGGACAATAAGGCTGATTCACCGTCTTTGTGAAACTTCAAGAAAGTCTCTAAGGGAGAGTGCTGAGTCATGCGGCAGTTATATATAAACAACTGCGGCAGGTTATTTTTGACAAGCTGCCACATTAATTGTTCAACAGCCGATCCACCGTGGCTGCAGCTCTCGCCAAACGCGGGTGAGGTCCCCATGACGCCCGGAAGGGCCTGGTCTCTGGCGGCTCTCCTTCTTGGCCGAGGCAGCTGTTGCATGAGCCCTGAACATTCTTATATAAGATTATAGTTGACATCTGCTCTGCTTTAATTTTCCTTTCGCTTTTTTATCACTTTGTGTTTATCTGGAAAATGAGCGTTCTAAGTTTTAAGTTTGGCCACCATCAGGTCTGACAGAGAAGCTTCCAGAAAAGGCTGTTTCTCACATAGCCCAGCGCCGTTCGCGGACATGCACTAACACACACACGCCACCGTGCTGACTCATCACCACCAGTACCTGGGTCATACGCTCATGTGCGCCAGCTCACCTCCGACGACGTTCTTATTGACGCCAAACCGCCAGATTAACATGAACCTCGCTCTCTGCTTCTAAATGAAACCACTGTCTGCAGACCGGGGGAACGAGAACCGTCACAAGACTCCCACAGCGTGTGGTTTCGCCCCGATATCGTCGATCGCACCTACCCTCGTGCGGCGGCCAAAAAAGATCTAGCAAACAAGCTAGCTACATATGTCCTCGGTCTACTTGCTCAGCTCCGTGTGATTAGCGAGATTAGAGAGGTAGACTTCTGGCTGTTTTCAGGCTAGGCAGCGGTGGGCCGGAGAGCCCGGTCTCCTGGGAGCATTCAGCTGGTTCATAGGTCCATTAGAGGAACCCGCTTTCCCACGCATCCGTCAGCTCGGGCCGCTGGGAGCCACAGGCACGGGGGGGGGCAGATGTCAGCACAGGCCAGCTGCTGGGACGCCCTTAAATGACACGCCTGTAATTGCGTGTGTGTGTGTGTGTGTGTGCTGTCCCCGCTGGAGGCTGCCTCGGCAGGGCATGTGCCGCCTACCTGCGTGGGCGTTATGTGGCTGACGTCCTCAGATGCCAGCTGCTTCAGCAGGGTGGTCTTGCCCCCGTTGTCCAGGCCCAGCAGCAGTATCCGTACCTCCTGGTCCGGGGAGCTCTTCAGTTTACGCAGGATGGAGAGCAGACCCTAGAAAACAATGCAGCATCCCCTTGACAGAGTGTGGATGGACCCGGAGAGGCTTTTTTTCTCCCTACTTGGGAGTTTGTGGTTCCTCTCTTCTGTTGTCTTCTTTCTTTCTTCCTTTCTTTCTTTCTCTAACTCTCTTCTTTCCCCAGTTTTTGTATTATTCTGTATAAATGATGTAGGATTGTCTTACAACACATTCACATAAAGTGTCTTGGGGCGACTCTGTTGCGAAAGGCGCTATATGAATATAAATTGAATTGAATCTAATGCTTACATCAGGAACTGGAACCGCGGAAAAGCAGATGTGTGATCCAAGGCCTTTATTTTACATCTTGGAACAGGAGCATTTGTTAGTGCTTTGTTTCGATAAGTAATCCACGTTTCTGGCCAAGCTTAAAGAGCTCCACCGTTCCGGCGATGCAGTTCCAGATGTTTCAAAAAACCAAAAGTGCTAAACAAATGCAGCTCAACAAGTAGAGCACTATGCTAAGAATGCAAAGGTTGTGGGTTGGGATCCCACAAAGCACACAAAAGTTGTTACCCGTCCATCTACTTTGGAGAAAAGCATCACATGAATGAAAATATTTATTAAGGTCATTAATGTGGCAGGGAAGCACAGAAGCGCTGGTTGGGTGCATCTCCAAGGTAAAGCAGTAGTCTAGCTGTCACGCTCCCGTCTCCCTGCTGTTGGAGGAACTGCCTGCAATTACTGGTTTCCAACCTTTAGCACTGCAACTAGTACTTAGATTAAGCTGTTAAATTAAGGTGTCCCTCCCTCAAAAAGGAACAGCAACCTCACAAGGTTACAGGAATTAATCCTGGGCTGAACTCCTCTGAATAATGAACTATAAACATGCACCCATCGATATAACAGGTACGGCTTTTCATAAAAAACTATTCTAGTCTTCTTATATGTCCTTCGTAAGTTAATTATACTTGACACCCACTAGTCCAGGATTTTTCCATGCTCGTTATGCAACTCGCTCTAATATAATTCTTGGCATCTTTACATAAAGGGTGCTGCTAATTATAGAAATGAGTTTTTGTTCCCTAAATTCGCACTTAGCATTAAGCCTGGCAGCCTTCACATGCTCTGCGGTCGCCAACAAACACTTTCACATTGATTTTACCAAGAAGTTTCAGTGTCCGGTTACTTTTTGGAGATTATGGGATGGCTGCATTAGGTATTGGAATCATTTATGATGTCTTTCCACAAGCGTGGTCCTCAAAAGTTGTATTCCTGAAAGCTTTAAAAAGCATTTGAACCTTTTTTATACCTGTATACTTACGTGAGGTTATTAACATTTAAACATTTGTTTTAAAAAAATAAATAAGAGTTAGTATGTGGGTTTTGTGAAGCATTAAACTTTCTCCACAGAAGGAGAGACAACAGGGAACAGAGCCAATGTGAGCAGAAGGTGATATGCTTGGTACTGTAACCTATCTGCACCAGGTTATCTGCATCCATAGCCTCGTACTGTAACCTATCTGCACCAGGTTATCTGCATCCATAAGCCTCGTACTTAGTCCCATTTGAACAAAGTGACTCCACCCCACAGATAAAGCTCTATGCTTTTAGATACAATAGAAAACGGACAAATTGCCAGTCAGATTTATTTTTTCCTGCTATTCCGATGAAATATATTAACTAAATCAAGTAATTAAAACGTGAATTTCTGGCTGTTGCACTGGATTAGGCTTCTGCAATGGTTTCCTCTTTCTCTTAACTCTTCAATATATGTCCGCCTCGCTTTTTTTAATAATCGACGGCGCAGACTAAATGTGCTCGGCGAGAAAACAGTCGTAACTAGCGCTCTGCTGTGATCGGCTGGTATTATCGCTGAATGTAAGTAATTCATTAGCTCACCATCTTTTGGCTGTAGCTCACGAAGACGCCGCCGCCGGTTACCAAGGGCCCGTGACGTTGCACACAACGGTGCACATAGATTGCTGACGTCAGCACAGAGCACATGCTTCGATGACATAACTCAAAAACAAAACTCAACGATCTTCCTTCTGAGCTACACCGAGGAAATATATAAACATATCTGTAAAACATCTCAATATATAACATGTTTTAATGTATTTGCAAAACGTATAATTTTAACTTGGTAAGTATCTGTCTGGCGTTTTCATGGCTACGCTTTGCTGAATGTATGATTTTGGGGAAACATTCATACATGGACTTGTGGTATTTCTGAGTTCTCTTTCGGTTTGGTTCCTACCCACTTCAGCGATTACCGGCTGTAGGTGCCTAAGTGCGGTGTCGGTGGAGTAGGGGGTGGGAAAGCCGGCCCTCCGCTTCCATTGGAGCAGAAACTGCCACGTGCGCCCTCCCAGCGCTCCCAGCACCCAAATCGCGCCGGTGTCTCGCTTCTTCTTGGCATAGACCGCTGTCACTCGGTGAGCTTCCTCACCCTTCGTGTGCGGGTCGGTAAGTAGCCGGCGGTGGTTTGCTCTGCACTTTGCCAGGTGCTTGGTTCGGGGAGGCAGTGACAGGTGACATTCTTTGGGAGGTTCTCACATGTGCAGCTGAACATTGGGGGTCGCATTAGTAATCAGACTTTTTTTTTTTTGGCTAAACATGGTCATATGTTCATGTCTAAGGGTTTGTCTCCCCGCGTTTAACTCGAAGCTGGTCTCATGCGTCCTCCACCCCGTTGTCTTGCACTGTGCTGTGTGCAGCTGGTTCATCTTATGATGATTATGGGTGATTTGTGTTTCCCCAAATGCAGAAACTCAACGCCGCCGCGGTTTCTGCTCCCTCTTCGACCCGGCAGCACTGCATGATAAACAAAAGCTTCCATGTTATAAGTTGTATTCTCCATTCCTGAAGAACAAGTCATGTGTTACGGAAGTCACCAGACTTGCTTGCTATGAAAAATCTGTCAGAATACCTTTTCCATGTTGCCAAAACTTGGAGTGGTTTTAAAATGCATTTTTTGAAAGTGGCTCATTTTTTGCAGACTTTTCATACACTTTACATCCGATTCTCACCCACCCCTTTTCAGCACTGCATTTTGTCATGGTGTTACCTCTATGTTTAGGGCTGCAGTGTAAAACTGTCAAATAAAAGGGTGGGCATTCACATATGTCTTGCTGCAGTATTTATGAATACTGGGGTTGGTGTGAGTTAGGCCTAGATTTCATTAATCTGCAAAAAAGGTGTTTAAATGTAATTAGGCTAAAGGTACCGCATGCTTGAATTTGGGGGAGGGAGAGCAGAACACAGCAGAACATGCAGGTGTCCAAACAAACCCGTGACCCTGGTGCAGTTTTCACTTTGCTTGTATTAACTAGGTTTTACAGGGGGGGGAGACCAAGTTAAAGTTTAATCACCTTTGCTATCTCAGCCAGAACCTAAGCTTGCTGACCTGGTATCTAGTCTTGTGGCTGTTTTCAAATCCAAACTTTCTATTTCTGCAACTGCCCCCCCTGCATTCTCGTGTTAATTTGCTTTGGCTAAATTTGCATGCTGGGTCAGTAAAAAAAGTCATTGTAATAATCCTTTCCAAGTCCTTTTACGTGCTTAAGGTCTGTGTAACGCAGGAGTGCGGCCCGTTCAGCTGAACCTGCTTATTCGGATCGTTAGTAACTAATTAAAAATGTCTCATATCCCTTAAGCATTTACTCGTGTTATATTTTTCTGTTTGCTTTTGAGGTGTTTGCAGGTGTCTGGTCCCCTAAGAGGGAGGCAGTCAGGAGACCAACAGACGGGACAACATGGCCCTTAGTGGATTTGACATCGACGCCCCCCGCTGGGATCAGCGCACCTTCATGGGTCGTCTCTGGCACTTCTTCAGCATCACGGACTTCCGTACGGCGCTGGTGTCCGACACCCGGCTGGATGAGGCCAAGATGCTGGTGCACAGCTGCAGGTAGAGGAGAGACGCCCACCTTCGGCTAACTGGCTGAGCGCCACTCGCGGGTGTCTGCGCATCGTGCTGTTTGTGTGCATGTCTACAGACGTTCTTCTGCTGCTGGTACAACCAACATTAACATGGGGCAGCTTGTGGCTCAGTGGGCTAAGCTTGCGTGCCTGTAATCATAAGGTCACTGGTTCAAACCCAGCCTCTGCACGTCTGCGGCTCCTTGAGCAAAGCCCTTAACCCCCAGCTCCCTGGATGCCCCAATAGGTGGCCTCCCCTACAAAGAGCAAGTTAAGGGAGGCATAAAAAGACAATTTCCCCATGGGGATCAATAAAGTATCAATTATTTATTATTTATTTGTAGGCGCAAATAAACCTTAAGTGGGGCTTCCAGCGTGTTCTGATGGTTGTACTTGTGGGATGGTTGTGGGGTCCACACCTGACGTATGCCTGTGACCCTCAGAGCCGGCACCGTGCCCCCTGGAACGTCAAAGGAGCAGCTGTACTATGCCAAGAAGCTGTACGACTCTGCCTTCCACCCAGACACCGGCGACCGCATGAACCTGATTGGCCGGATGTCCTTCCAGGTGCCGGGGGGGATGGCCATCACGGGCTTCATGCTGCAGTTCTACAGGTGCCCCCCTGCTAAAATTCTGCCTGTTGCTTGTCCCTGTGTCGTCATGACAACCTCGAGCGGGTGCCCCCGTTGGTGACGTTTCGCTGTGCGTTACCCAAACAGAACCGTGCCGGCCGTGGTGTTCTGGCAGTGGGTCAACCAGTCCTTCAACGCCCTGGTGAACTACACCAACCGCAACGCTGCGTCGCCTATCACTCCCAAGTACAGCCTTGCGTTTCTCTTTACGTTTTTGACCACATTTGCTCATCAGTTCATTGTTTTTTGCCTTGTTTATATCAAGATATCTATAATATGCTGTCGAATCTAATATTTCCGTCATGTTTGTGTCTTGCATACCTGCCTCTTCAATAGGTTCCTCTTTAGTTGGCCATCTGTTTGATTTTTGGTTGTTTAGCTTCTCTCATGCCCCCTTTCTGTCCCCACCCCACCTCACCTCCAGGCAGATTGGCGTGGCGTACATCACTGCTACCAGCACGGCTCTGGCCACCGCCGTAGGCTTGAACCTCTACACCAAGGTAACCGTGCCACGTCGGCCCATCCGTGGATCTAATCCCCCTTCCTGAAGGATGATGGTCTTCCTGACACCAGCTGGGCTGAAGCTCCCTGTAATACAGATGGGATGCATCAGAAGAGTCTGGAACATCTCGTGCATTTGGCCCGGTGATCCGGCTTGTTAAACGTAGCTGGTTCAGCTTTTGAGGTTGAAAGAAAAAGAAAAGCCCACAAATCTCCAGGTGAAGGGTGATGTTGCAGCTCAGATGCAGGACCTCTGTTGGTCCTGAGAAGGTGTAGCTTGGAGAACTGCATGTGATTTAGGGTACGTTCTGGCTGGGACACCCTGCACTGCAGTCACGAGGCATCTGAGAACCGGTTCCCACTCATTCCGAAACCATCTCCCCGATCTCTCTCTCTCTGCAGCGTATGTCACGGTGTAGCTCTCATGAATTATGATGTACTACTTTCGAGCAAACCCTCCCCGTTCAGAAATGCTTACAGCCGAAATGCATGGCATATGAGTCAAATCGCAAAACGGTATTTGGTCATATCTTGGTAGAATCCAGCGATTCGACTTCCAAGAAGGATGCTGCACAGAGCCCTACGGCTCAGAAGTGGGAAGGACTAGCTGGCTGGGGGAGTGGAGATGGATTTAACAACATTTTGGGTGGGTGACGGATTAGGTCATAGATCCTGGAAGCCTTGTGCTGCATCAGTGTGTTGACTGCTGGCGGAGGAGCGAAACCACGTGTAGGAATGTGACCGGGCCTGAGTCACCGAGTGCAGTTTTGACATATCGAAAATGCAGCTCTAAAGATTTGTGTGGTGATGTCACTTCCTGTTCATTGCGACGTAATTAATCTCCAGCGCCCTCTTGCCTCTGTCGACAGAAAGCGCCCCCCCTGGTGGCCCGCTGGGTGCCCTTCGCCGCCGTGGCTGCGGCCAACTGCGTGAACATCCCCATGATGAGACAACAGTGAGTCGATGTTTCTCTTCCTCTGAAGCTTGTCCACATTCTTATTTACCGTACGGACGGCTGCTCGCCTGTGCTTTTCTGAAGGGAGGTGTCTTGTCATGCCCGGGCATGGTCCTGTAACCCTGCTGTGACCTGTCTTAGTCTGCTCTCTGTCATTAAGTGACTGTGACCGGTCGTCACGGAGACCTGCGGCGGTGTCAGATATTTGTCTGCTTTTCCGAGTCGGAATAGCCGGGGGTGGGACAGTAAGTGGCAGTTTCTGAACTGGGCAGTGTGTCAGGACCTCTTTGGGCTGAGCCAGACCTCCTCTTGGAGTTATGTTTCCATCGCGTGTAAATGTCTCAGTGACCACCTAGTCTTTCCCCTGTAGGCTGACACCTCCTCCCATGTCGGCCATTTTCCCCACCGCTCCCGTGACCGACGTCTGGTTTATATCTCTGACAGGGATGGGCTGGCTCATCAGCACGCATACGTGTCCTGGAGCCAGCGAGCCGTCTCCTGTCCGCCTCTATGTTCCACACGGGTGTCGTTAGCTTGTTCTGTAGTCCTGTCCTCGGTCTGCTGTTTTTAGAGGCCGTCGGTCTGCGCCGGGCTCCTGTCAGTGTCAGTTACCCGCAGTAGCTGGTCCTCGCGCCGCCGCACGGAGGGAAATCCTTCCAAGCTTCGTCTTTCGGGCTGCGGCTGTTTCTGTGCATCTTGCTGGGCTCCGCAGGACCAGCCGGGAGGTCCGTGCTTGTAGAGCCCCCCCGTGTGGCGGGCAGATGTGCGGCTCGATTCCGCTCCCCACACGGCCGCACTGAACCCACCTGGGGTGTCGGCTCATGCCGGCTGGGGTGGGGTGCGTGACTGGGGGCTGCTTTCCCCGCTTTTTTCATAATAATAACGTAGATGAAAAAATGAATAATAATAATAATAATAATAATAATAATAATAATATTCGTTATGATAATCTGTCAGCATGTCCTCCCTCTCGCCCAGAAACACAGCACAAATTTAAGGTGTTTATCAGATTACTTATCAGATTTTTAAAAAATTTAAGACAAGACTACGGCTGGACATTTTCACCTGAGTCTTTCAGGTTAAGTGTAACAGCAGGCTTCTCTGTTAATTTAAATGGGCATTTGCTCG